TTTTTGAGCTTTTCAGGTCTTGCCTTTGTGCTCTGAGAGGCATTTTCTGGAGCAGTGCTCAGTCTAGGGTTAATTATTCCCAACCACTGAGGCAAGACCTTACTAAGTACCCAGTGCCCCATGAAAGATAAGTTTTTCCAGTTTGACTGGTAGGAACAGGTACCATGCCTGGCACCCACTGTTCCTTCTAATCCTTTCAGATGGCTCATTCCTCAGCCTCACATGCATGCACTGTTCGCCACTTTGCTGAATGGCCAAGGGGATCCTCTGTGGAGCTCTGGGATTCTCTCTCTGAGCAGCCGTCTTCTCTCTGGAACTCTCTCTGTAGAACCATGGCTGACTTGGTTTCTGTGGACACTCAACTCTGTCTTTTTAGCTTCAGGAGTCTGCCTGAATCCATGTTAGTTCTCCCTCTCTGCACAGTGACCTGGCAACTCTGCCAAGGTAATTCTGGGGTAATCCTAGGACTCAACTAGTTTGTTTCTAATGTCGTTCATTGCCTGGTGTCCAGTGTCTTGAAAACTGTTGTTTCATATATTTTGTTTGTTTGTTTGTTTCAAATGGGAGGATAAATCCAGTCCCTGCTTCACTCCATCTTGACCAGAAGCAGAATTTAGTAGCTATTATTATTTTATCATTCATTCAGGATAATTTAGGGGCACCTACTATGAGCCAGGCACTATGCTAGGTTGAGTATACAGTGGTGAGCCAAAAGAATATGGTCTTGGCCTCATAACAAATCTGTCTTATGGCGATCAACTTTTGCCAGAAGGCAGTAAACATGCTAGGCCCTGGATTGATGAAAATAGACATGAATCAGCTGTGATCACTTCTCCCAAGGAATTCAGAATTAGGAGGGAAGAAAAATTAATACAAAGCTGACTGTGAAAAGTATGTGAGATACAAAGGCTCTGGGCATATTGATGAAGAAATAATTAATTCTGATTTAAGGCATAAGGGAAAACTTCATGGAGAAGGTGACATTTGAGTTAGGACGTGAAAAGTTCATGTAATTTTGAATGGTGGAGAAGCAGGAGGGAGGTAGAGATGCTCGAAGTGCTTTTCTTTCTTTCTTTCTTTCTTTCTTTTTTTGAGACGGAGTCTCGCTGTCTTCCAGGCTGGAGTGCAGTGGCGCGATCTCGGCTCACTGCAAGCTCTGCCTCCCGGGTTCACGCCATTCTCCTGCCTCAGCCTCCCAAGCAGCTGAGCCTATAGGCGTCTGCCACCACGCCCGGCTAATTTTTTGTATTTTTAGTAGAGACGGGGTTTCACCGTGTTAGCCAGGATGATCTCAATCTCCTGACTTCGTGATCTGCCCCCTTCGGCCTCCCAAAGTGCTGGGATTACAGGCGTGGGCCACCGCTCCCGGCCTCAAACTGCTTTTAAACATGTGGCAGACGCAGCTATGTGGCTTGTTCTTCCTCGCCCACAAAACTGTAATCATGTGCTTCAGAGGATGCTGTATACAGTACTTTCCGGTCCCTAGGAGTGAGTCTTGATTTGGTGAAATCAATCATGGAATTTATATTCCCTTTGCCTGTCATTGGATCCGGCATAGGCACATGACACAATTCTGGGCAATGAGATATGACAGAAAGTCTGCTGGGAAAGTTTATTTTTCAAAGAAAGGGAGAGAACATTCCTTTCCCCCACTGTTTCTGAGAGAGAAACAAAAACACCTGATTCCTTGATGATGTCCTGAAACCACTGGCATTAACGAATCTAAAACTGATATAACTCATGACTTCTTGTTACATGAGATGCTCAAGTTTTCTTCTTGTTTCAGTAACTTCTGGTTGGATTTTTGTTGTAGTTGATGGAGCTACTTTCAGCCAGATGCAGGAGACCAGCATACCCTAAGCTGATCAGTTTACCCATTAGAAACTCGCTTTTCCTTTTCACTGATTCAACCCTCTGCTAAATGTTACTTCTCTTGTTCTGGTTCCTCTGCTTCATCAAGAATGGAGGGTAACCTAAGACCTAAGACATGACAATGCACTTAGTCACTCTTTCCAAACATACACATGGGGGGAGATGCAAAACAACTTTGAAAATGAAAGAAAGCAATTACACAATGCAATACCTTGACTATTCTGTCCCATCACCCTTCCTGGTCCTTTGGTTGGGAGGACTTAAACTCTTATGGTAGGGTGGAGAGATGAAAATAAACATAAAGGAAAAAAGTGTAGGCAAGCCCACGGGAAATTATGTAAATTCTTCCGGATTCACAGCAGTGCTAGAATTCTCTGGTAATTCCCACAGGAGCCAAGACTACCTCTGAAACAGTCTAACTGTTGGAAACCACCAGTGTCCGGCAGGAAGCCAACTATAACAAGGGCAAAAGATATGCCGTTTCGGAGAGTCTGGACCAATCCCAGGGACCCAGGTCAGCTTGTGGCCAAAGTTGTGAATATGCAAAAACTGTCACCAGTCTCCACTCCCTTTCCCGTTCCCTTCCTAGTCCCCTTCTTTTTCTAGCCCCGATCTTTTTCTCCCTGCTCCTCCTCCCACTCCTCCTTCTCCCTCACTCACTCAACAATTCATATCCTGCTTGCCTGATGAGCACAGAAAGTACTAAGCCGCCTACCTTAGGACACTTGCATTTCAGCAGGGAGCTCTTACACGCCCAAGGTAATGCTCCTCTATTGCTAGAAATTCAGGCTTCGAGGCTGGCTGTGGGAAGCATGTCTGGTCTCAGGCACAGTACTTCTTGCCCCATGCAAAGTCAGCTGGTGGGAAGCGGGGCGGGGGATCCAAGGAAAAGAAGGGGACTAGGAAGGGAAGCGGGGATTCAAAGACTGGATTCCCAGCTCTCACTGCCAGCCAGTGGGGATGTACAGGGTCACAAAGACATTGCCTCAAATGTGGAGCTGTCCTCTGCTAGCTCATACAGGACCTTGTCATGCTGACTTGTGATCCACGGATCTCGTGTTAGCCAGAATCCAGCATAGCCTGATATTTAGCAGGTGCTGTTTATGGAACGAATGAACGAACGAACATCTGTTCATATACACAGACACCACGACTATCTTGTTCCCCATTGTATCCTCAGCACCCAGTCCAGTGCTTAGGCTGGAGTAGGAAGAGAGTAATGATTCATTAATTGACTGAAAGAGGGCGTCACAAGAAAGGGACTTGCATCTATGCTGCAACGACATCTTTATTGCAAGGGCAAGAAGCACATCCCAGACCTTTTTGAAAACATCAGGGATGGAGGTGGGAGGCAGGGCAAGATGGAGGAAATTTCTGGGAGTACAGCTATCTAGCTGTCATGGTTCAACTATGGTTTCAGTTTTCTAGGGTTTCTTTTTCTTTTCTTTTTGGAGATGGAGTTTCTCTCTTGTTTCCCAGGTTGGAGTGCAACGGCATAATCTCGGCTCACTGCAACCTTCCACTCCCAGGTTCAAGCGATTCTCCTGCGCCAGCCTCCGAGTAGCTGGGATTGCAGGCGCCTGCCACCTCGGCCGGCTAATTTTTGTATTTTTAGTAGAGACGGGGTTTCACCATATTGGCCAGGCTGGTCTCGAACTCCTGACCTCAGGTGGTCTACCTGGCTCCGCCTTCCAAAGTGCTGGAATTACAGGCATGAGACACCACCGCGCCCAGCCTTCTAGGGATTCTTAACCTGGGGCTCATAGGTGGGGCTTCAAAAGATCCATGAATCCTCCCACTCTTTAATCAAGCACCGGTGTCAGTAGCTGTATGTGCATTTTTCTGGAAGAGGATCATGGCTTTCAATGAGTTTCAAAAGGCTGAGACTGCTGGAGACCTGCACTGTCCAAAGGGTAGCCATTAGTCCGGTGTGGCAATTTAAGTTTAGATTTAAATTAAAATTTCAGTGCCTTACTTACACTAAGCTACACATCAAGTGCTCAACAGCCACGACCTACAGGACAGACCAAATAGAGTACACTTCCATCACTGCAGAAAGTTTGATGGGACAGATATCTGTATTGGTAGCATTACCACCTGAATACAGGTAAGATTGGATCCAACTAGTGCTTTTGTAAAATGAGTTGCCAACATTTAGAAATAAAACATAAAAATCTAAAATCCTGATTTCATTTGGGAAACAGGACTATCTACCAGCGTGGGGCCTGCGTTCCCCTGGCAGCTGGAACGCACGGTACTGCTCCCTTTAGAGGGACTCTCGGTCATATAGAAGTTTCCCGCTTGACCCTCCTTGACGACTGACAGTAGGACCCTCGTTTCCAGGGGACTTAGCCGTCTTGGTCTCCTTCCAGGCTCGCGTTTGTAACCAGACTTCAAATTTTGCTAAATGGGGTTAAACTGGGTTTGAGAGCACATTTTAGAGCAGGGTCTAGGGCTCAGTTGGAAGTTGAGGAGGGGCAGCGCCTCCTTCCTTACAGTTTTCCGGAACTGTAGGAAGTCAGAGGGAATTTTATCCTGAACATCTGTTGCTTGACAAAGAACTTCTTCCCAGTCCTCCTCCGAGCTCTCCAGTCCCCAGCCCAGTTCGCCCGGGCCCGCCCCTAGCAACGAGATCGCGGGGAGGGGCCGAGGCGAAACATTAGCCCCGCGCCCACCACCCCGGCTGGCGAC